TTCAAATCATCACAGGGATCTGGGCAAGCCTTCACCCAAAGCAAGTGTGGATTTAGCCAGCTGCACAGCACATGCCCGTAGAGTTTCCATTTCTCAGTCTTCCTTGTAACCCAGTGGCCATGTGGCCCATGAGGTCTGCCTTCTCTTCTCCTAGGGAGAAAGCTCACATTCCTCCCACCCCACCCCTTGTTCTTGCTGATGGAGTGGTCATCAAGAGTGTAAAGCTTGAAGCTGGTTAAGCCCCTCTGGTTTCTGTAAAACTGAGATATGTCCAGCCCATGGAGAGGTTGTGAGCATCAAGGGAGATCTATAAAGGATGGAGAGCTGTGCCTGGAATGCTCTGTCTCCCTGGTGTTCTGCTTACCACATTACGTCAGTGTGCTGATGAGGCAGAGCAAGCAGGGAACAGGGGCCTGGGACCTGGCTCCTGATGCAGTACTGTGCTGCCAGACACAGACAAGCCAGTCAATTGCCATCTATTCTAAGCTGTGAAATTTTGCAGAATAACACAGGCCAGCTGAGGCCCCCCTGATTTGTGGGGGCCAGGTAAAGGGGCTTCCTCTTGCTCCAAAGTACAGAGCTGGTGATGTCTACAGTGCATTAATATCTAGGCGCAGGTAGCTCTTGGAGCCCCATGCCTTGGGAGCCCAGATTTTCTCATGCCAGCACAGCCCATGCCATCTAAATGGTGTCAAGTGAACTGTTTCTTTCTTCACTTCCCAGCGGTCAGCAACGGCATGCTTGCCCTGGTGAGGTATGGGGAGGCTGGGTTGGTTTCACTGAAAGGGGCTTACTTCAAGCCATGTCCAGTGGAACAGGGCAGGGTAGCAAAAACCTTTGTTCCCCTGCCAGGCCCTCCTGTCTCCTTCTGCTATGGTGGCAGCATGTTTTCCTAGTTGCCTCTGAGGGTTCCAAAGCAAAGGTGAGGAAATGACCAGTCTTACTTTCTCTGGAGAGAGGCCTTCACTCTCCTGCTATGTTGCTCCTACCCTGAGTGGACACGGCAGCCACACTGTCCAGCTATTCCAGCAGAATGGATCTGCCCTTAGTGCTAATAGATTTTAGCTGAAGGCTGGCCCACAGAGACAGCATGGAGGCCCTGGGTGTTTCCACCGGCATCCCTTCCCTGCCCCTCACTCTGGCCTTGAAGTCCTGCATCATAGTGAGACTGCTGTCAGCAACACCCCCCTTCTCCCCTTTCCCAGCTGTCCTGAGTTACACTCCTATACTAGATATCTATTCTTAACAGCTTAACATCTGTTCTCCCAGAATAACACACTGCCACGTTCTTGGAAGAAGAGATAGATTTGTTTGGTTCCCCCACCTCCCCAACTCAGGGTACACATTCACATTAAAGAAAACAATGCTTTGCTAGAGTTGGGGCTCCGATACCAGTAATACATTTGGGCAGAGGTAGAGGCCTCTGTGTAAGGGTCCTGTCCTTTCCCTACACAACTGAAAGAGTCAGAGTGACACCTAACAGTTGGCAAATGCTAGAGTTTCCTCTGGTTCACTTCCATCTCTGGGTGGGTGTGGGGAAGGCACCTTCCATTGCCAGTCTGGATGCCCCTGATTATGTGTGAGGGCAATGGCTTTTTGATGCCTTTCCTTTTGCAAGAAGTAACTACCCAGAGTTCCACAGGAGGACTGTCAAGTCACATCAGGTCACATGCCTTTTCTCATTCCATGTGAAGAGATTACATGTTTGGCATAGACAATCAGAATTCGACTCAGTATTGAGGCTAGGGATGGGGTTGCCTCACCTGAAGTTACTGGGGTTCTGTTTGCAGATATAAAAGTGGCATAGTTCTTGAAGGGGGCACGAGTTCTTCCAGTACTCACCGGCCTTGAAGCATTGCTGGCGCATCCCCCACTTCCTGCCACTCAGGCTGCTCACTCCATTTCTGTTTTTCATAATTGATTGCCTCGTGGAGTCTGGACTACATTAGCTTCTATTTGGCACCTTGCTGGAAGTTGGTATTCATCTAATTCCTGTCCCTCATTTTATTGATTTTGGCTTAAAAGATCACAGTCTTTCAAAAATAGTCAGAAGTCACGAAAGGTCAGAAACTATTAACTTCTGATCTGATTCAATATTGAGAGTAATGGCTGAGTTTCCTCCAGTTTAATGTCTGACCATATCGGAACACAAACTGAGCATCTAGTCCTGGTCGCATGCTCTGTAATTTCAGAAAAACAAAACAAAACAAACATTCCTCTAAGTTTTAGACTATCAGTACAAAACTGAATGAGCCTTTTTTGGGCTGAGCCCTCTCTCCATGTGGGTAGCTGAGTCTTCGTGAAAAATTAAGAAGGACTTGGAAATTCAGTGGGAGGACAATTCTGTGATCTATTAAGGATGTCTGCCCAAAGAGCTGGAAGAGTAGTGGCACAATTTTTGTGGATTCTGGGCTAGAAGATCTTGAAGATCCAACTCTCTCTAACATTCTTGGACTCTTCTATGGTTAAAACCTAAAATTCCAAGAGGGAGTTACCTGATTTCTTCTCCTATTGCTTTGATAAACTATCCCCACAAAAGTAGCTTAAGGGAGGAAGGGTTTATTTAACTCACAGTTCCAGGCTTCGTCATTGAGAAGTCAAGCAGCAGGAACTTAAAGCAGCTGGCCACACCCACAGTCAAGAGCAGAGAGGAAAGGAATGCTAGTGACTGACTAGCTTGTTTTCTTCCCTTGCATACAGTTCAGAATCCCCCTTCCTACGGAAAGACGCTACCCACAGTGGGCAGGTCTTTCTATCTCAACTGATGTAATCAAGAAATGTCCTCCTAGACATGGCCAAAGGGCTGTTTCCCAGCTGAGTCTAGGTTGTGCTGAGATGACAATTAAAACTAATCATCACAGCAACCTAACAGAATTAGGAATCTGGACTCTGACAGAGCTGGGAATTGTATGACCCTCGGTGTGTGTCTCTTCAAATACAACACTGCTTTGCTAGTAGGGTTTCTCAAGCAGACAGAGCCAGAAATAAACAGATGAAGATGCTGATATAGATGAGGACACAGGTATACAGAAGTGAATGCATTTGCATGTGTATGTCAGGAAGTGTTCCAACATTTATAATAAAGTAACACAGACAATCAACCTATAGAAAAAAGGATTATTTTGGCTTGCATTTGGAGTCAGATTAGAGTCCCTCTGTAGCACAATAAATTAAAAAACCCAGAGGCAGATATTGGGATTCAAGCTTCAAGCTGAAGATCAGAAAAGCAAAGCAGCCAAGCCACTAGCTTGTCTCTACATCAGGCTGAAAGGGCTGATCCTGTCTCCATGAGCTCTCACCAAGCCTCAGACTGCTGCCTCTCCTCAGTGTGGCTGGAAAATCCTGAGATTGACTACTGAAGATCCTGATCCTATCTTTTATACCTCTCTAGTGCTGGGATAAAGACGTGAGCTCTGTTACTCTTTTAGACTGATTCACTCTTGTGTAACACTAGGTGGCCTTGAACTCAGAGAGATCTGTCTGCCTTTGTCTCCTGAGTCCCGGCATTAAAGGTATGTGCCTGGCTTCTATGGCTAATTAGTATGGCTGCTTTGCTATTTTGATCTCCAGTGGCTTCAATTAATCATAAACAATATATCACCACATTTCTCATCCAGGGGTTCCATTGCTTCTGGGTCAGGTGAGGCAATAAGCCAAGGCAGAAACATGTGGTAGAGGCAAACCATTCAACCTTGTTGCTGAGAAACAAAAAACCAAGAAGGGAAAGGGATGGAAATCCCACAATGACATTCAAGGTCATGCCCCCAATGGCACACCTCTCAAAGTTTCCATTCCTCTCAACACCCAAACTACAGCTCAACACAAATATGCATTCATGCCACAGGTGCATACATATCCTTCTGTGTCAAAAAGCATGAATAATGCCTACTGACTGCTCAGCCACTCAACACATATGTTTCATTGTCTGTTGTGCAGTGAAGTGAACAGCTGGTATGTGAGAGTCAGGAATAGCCCATTCGGTCTTTGACCTCCTCAAGGAGCTTTTATATAAAAAGCGAGAGAGAGGGAGAGAGGGAGGGAGAGAGAAGGAGAGAGAGGGAGAGAGAGAGGAAGAGGGGGGAAGAGAGAGGGAGAGAGAGAGGAAGGGGGAAGGGAGGGGGAGAGAGAGAGGGAGAGGGAGAGAGAGAGGAAGAGGGGGGAGAGAGAGGGAGAGAGGAAGAGGGAGAGGGAGAGAGAGAGGAAGAGGGGGGAAGAGAGAGGGAGAGAGAGAGGAAGGGGGGAAGAGAGAGGGAGAGAGAGAGGAAGGGGGAAGAGAGAGGGAGAGAGAGAGGGAGAGGGAGAGAGAGAGGAAGAGGGGGAAGAGAGAGGGAGAGAGAGAGGAAGAGGGGGAAGAGAGAGGGAGAGAGGGAGAGAGGGGAGGAGAGAGAGAGGGAGAACAGGGGAGAGAGGGAGAGAGAACCATCAAAGAAGTGTCTTGATGTAAACCAGTCTCCACAAGCCCATACTCACAGGTGCACAAACACCTGCTTGCACACGTGTGTCTATGATGGGGCTGGAGGCCAGAGCCACAGGTGGGGTGACTGGCAGTCATGGGTTGGTGAGAAGCTGGATCCCTACGGATCCTGACAGTGGCACTGATAGGTCTGGGGTGTGTTGTGCCTCAAGCAGCTGGTAGAAGTCAGAGTCATTTACTAAGAAAAGAAGGGCTGGGCTGGCAGTAACTAAATGGTCATCTGCACAGGGCCTGGGGTTCCACCCCTGGAACCATAACAACAGAAGAGAGAAAAGGAAAAAGAAAATGGAGAAAACTGGGTAGAGCAGCAGTGAGCACAGCAGTCACACACAGTCCTGAGTGGGACAGATTCCGATGCCCAGCAGGCCTTTCTAGATGGCACAGAGCTGTGCATACCAATTAAGTATATTTGCTGGTATTTAGGATTCCTGTATATCAAAACTAATGTCCTGCACTTGATACATGTGCCCTCTTTGAACCCAAGGACTCTGAGTGTGTGACATTTTGCAAGACTCTGTATGTAGGCTTGTAAAAAAAAAAAAAAAAAGCAGAGGTAGAAACTGAGACTTTGGAAGCTGTGACCTCCTGCCTGGTCCTCCTGTACAGGAAGCGCTGGACAAAGTAGCCATCGCACCATCACCCTCACTGGTATGGTTTGAGTTTCCTGTCCACCCACTGTACTATACATGCCACAGTCTGCATTCTAATGGCTGATTGGTGCAGGTGTCACACAATGTGTACTGTGGGGACATTAACATATCTGTGGGTAAAAATAATTTAAAGATTTTGGTATGTGGCTGTTCAGGTCCAGCTCTTATAGGCTTAAATCTGCATGTATTAATGTAAGAAATGGGTATTAAGAATAAACAACTTCAGTTCCCACCAATCCAGTCTAAGTAGGAAGCTGCTACACAACAGGGAATTCTAATCTTCTTTTCAGAGCCCACCATGTTGCTTCTCTGTCTGTCCATGGAGTTTAAAATGCTTCAGATAAACACCTTACTCCCCAGTTATCTGTCCCAGGATCTCTCCTGAACTCCACATGCCAAATCGTTCAGCATTTAAGTATGGCTACATTGAACAGTTCCCAAACTACACACATTAGCCCCTTCTGTAGCTGGTACTGGGCCTGGGCATCCGATCTCTTCCGTGCTTCTCTTGTCCCAGGATACTTGAAGCTGCATTGGAGAGAGGACCTCTCTATCCTTCCTGAATGATAAATAGTGCATTGGGGAGTTATTAGGAGAGGGGGCTGTGGCAGAAGGCTATGAGAGAGACCCTCCTTGCAGCTTATAGCACAGTTACCCTTCCCCACACAGGCAATGCTGTGTCGCCAAGGCTGATGGGTTTAGATGGTGAGAGCCTCTAAGAACCCTGTCTCACCAGCTGACAGGAATGAGGAGCTGGGGGCTTCAAAACAAACCAGCAAAACCCAGGGGGATCCTGTGTTCTCACCTGCACTTCCTGCTTTCAAGGCCCGGGTGAGACACTCCCAAGGTCTGTTTTGCCTGCTCCAGTTGCTTTTGCTTCCTCTGAGATTCCCGACCTGCAAAGGCAAAGAGTCGACCTTCTGTGCTGGCAAAATCACATGCAGGCTGGAAATGCAAGCTCAAACACAACGGAGGCTGAAAGCAGCCCACATCCAAGTTAGAGTGAGGTTGTCAGTCACAACCTAAGTCTTTCCTTTCCTTGTATGCTTCCCCCATCTTGGTCCTCGTGAGATGATTCATCCTGGGTCAGGAAGAAAACATATACAAAGGCTAGAATATCTAAGCCCTGCCCCTCACCCTCACCCCAACTCACCGCACTCCTCCCCAGGGTTCCCTGGTTGATCATATCCCTTTCCCTGACCTAACATGGGAAGAGATGCATGACAAACAAAAAGGAGTTTTCTACTGTTAGTGTTGGTGGCAAGACTAGGCAAGGAGGTCCCCTGGGAACTATAGAATGATCTAGAAGATTTCCATTTGGCAGATTGGGTGGGGCATCACCTTTGCACTTGGCTGACCTGGGCAGTTGGGCTTTCTCATGTGCTAGGAATGTCACGGAGCCTTGCCACTCCAGGGGTGTGTAATGTTGGCCAAGCTTGTTAGAAATGCAGAAGTTGTTCCAGGACAGCCAGGACTGTTATACAGAGAAACCCTGTCTTGAAAAACAAAACAAACAAAAAAGAAATGCGGTACTTCAGGCCCTACCCGAGACCCGTGACACCAGAACCTGCATTTCATTTCATGGATCCCAGGTGACTCCTGCTCATGGACAGATGGAGAAATGCTGCTGTCCCTCTGTCCCCATTACAAGGATACCTGTGCTGACTTAGGACAATTTGTACTTTTTAAAAATCTCACGGGCACTGTGCTCCCAAAATCGATCTTATTTTTCACTTTACTGAGAAAAGTAGGTTTAATTCAATTGAAGTACTGGCTCCGCTGATTCCTGTTTGGGGCATGCCCATCACAGAAAGCAGGTAAGTGCCCAGGTAGATTAATCTGGTGTGCCCTGCCTTCTTGTCCCCATCACCATGCCTTCCCAACACCCACAGATTTCTCCTCCATCCACACGCCCTCCTGCCATCCACATGCTCTCCTGCCACTATGCTATTTGGCAGTCCCAGTAGCATAAAACTCATTAACACATGGGGCAGTTGTGGCTGGAATTCAGTTTCTCCCCTAATTCATGTTAACTGGTAAAGATGGGTGGATTTAGCTAGGGAAGGGCTGGGGAAAGCCAGTGTGCTAAGAGTGGTCAGACGGACGTAGGCAGGAGCCAAAGAGGAAAGTATACCTGGGGCCTGGGGTGGGAGCTGGGCCTAGGGCTAAGGCCTGGGTGGGAGCTGAAATCAGCAGAATGGTTAGGAATCTGTTGTGATGCTGTGATAAGAATGAGATGGGACCCTGGGAGACTAGCCCAGATGTCTGGGGGTGGCCCTGCGGGAGGGAGACGCACCACTCTGGGGGATTGGGCTGGAGGCTTCAGGAGATGAAGTGTGCACAGCTGCCCTGCAGTGTCTCTTCTTTCTGCTTCTCATCTTCCAAGAGATGCTTCAGCCAGGGCCAAGCCTAACCCTGGACACTGCAGAGCTTCTCTTTGACTCTACCACCCTCTGCCTCCGTTCTTCTCTCCTGCCATTTGTTCCTTTGTATTTGAGTTCACATTCATTTGGGGGTCTTTTGTAAGCCTGTAAATGGGGTGATCCCACATCTGAAAGCCCCAAGTTCCCAAATCCTCCCAAACCTGAAAGGAGCATTGACGTCACATCACAGATGGAGAGCCGTACGCCTGGCTTCCTGGACTGTCTCAGTGGAAACAGGTGCAGCAATGTAATTGGGTAAAATCATCTCCAGGCTCTGTATGAGGTATATTTTGAAAAAGAGTTGAATTTGTGTTTAAACTGTGGCCCCTTTCCTGAGATAGCTCAACACATATGCAAATATCCCCAAAGCCAGAAATCCAAGGTCAAAATTTGCCAAACATTTTGGGCTGGGGACACTCAACCTGAGAGTGTATGTCCCAGAATGCTTAGACATAAACTGAGAAATATGATGATGATGATGATGATGATGATGATGATGATGATGATGCTGATGTGGTACAAGACCTTTCCCTGATGCTGTCATCATGTTTCTGGGCTCCCCAGACTCCTGAGCAGTGATCTGCTTTAGAAAAGCCCTTCTCTTTATAAAATACTCAGTCTCTGGTACTCAGTTATAGTCCCGAAAATGGAGTAAGACAGATCTGGGGATGATATTATCCTGGGTTTTCTGGGTGATTCCCCACATCCCAGAGAAGACAGCAGCAGAGAAGGAGGCAATGGAGGCCGAGCTCAGAGCCATGCAGTCACAAGGCAAGCAATGCCAGCAGCCACCAGCAAGGCTGCAAGAAGAGTGAAGGAGTCACGCTGCAGCTGCCCAGGACTGCATCATAGACATCCAGCCTCAGAACTACCCAATCTGTGGTGATGTCCAAGGGACACACACAGGAAAGGGCACAGAGGCTCCCAAAGCCACAACAGGAGCAAATGAGCTAAGTGAGTAGCAGTGGCCACTCCTGTTGTACAGAAGGCCTCTGAGGCTCAGAGAGGTAGAAGAAGCAGCTGCTTCCAGCCAAAGCTTGGAACCCAGCTCTCCTGAATCTATTCTGGAACATCCCACCTTCCTCCTCCCATAGGCACTGAAGGATTATCGGCTAAAACTCTCTGCAGCCAGGGTGGGTTTGCAGGGTCTGAAAGCAGCTTCCCCCAAGCAGGCTGGCAGCTGCTTCTGGAAAGGGGTGGCTCTCAAAGGTTATCTCCCTCTCCATCTGGGTTTGTGCCCAGTTCCATTCAAAGACTCCCTCTCTCTTCCAAAAATAACAGTGGAGGGCCAAGCCAGGAGAGCATCCGGGTTTGCAGGCGCGGCCTGCTTTGAATAACTTCATGATATTTGTGAAGCAGCTGTGCCTAGCACTCTTACAATTTTCCTATGGCAAGGTGAGGCTTAGCAAACACCAAGCAAATGTACTGAAATAACCGCTTAAGAAAATACTTGGATCTTGAGGCTGTGTGGATTTGCCTCGGCTAAGTGTTAAATTGTAAATATCAACTTGTCCAGAGGCTCTGCTCCCTCCCAGTCATCTCTGAATTTCTGTATCCTCACTGGGAGGATGTAGATTTATGGCTGATTTTTGGCAATGGAGACTAAGGCTGGGTGGGTGTGTGACTTGCCCAAGGCCATGTTGATAGCCAGGGAGGCTGGATTTCAGTCCCTTGTCTGACCTCAAGGCTGTTCTTTGGATTTCAACAGCAGGTTTTCACCTGGGTGTCACCTCCAGGGAGTCTGAAGCAGCTGGCCTGGGGCATGCCTTCCTGCGGGATTTTCCTCCCCAGACTGACTGGAATGTGCAGTGGAGGTTAAGAACTGCTAATCCAGGTCACATGCTACTCAGTCACCCTCTATCTCTGTGGGGTCTGTGTCGCTGGACTTAACCAATTGCATTCAAGCAAGTAGAGAGTACTTGAAAAACTTGTAGTGAAGCTACAGTTTGTTTTCTTGTCACTGTCCCCCAAACAACACAGCAGAGCAGTCACCCATGCAACAGTTACACTGAATCAGGGATTATAAACCCACAGGAGAAGGTCAGAATACCATGGAGGGTGTGTAAGGCTCATGAACTACTGTGTCATTTGATATAATGGGCTCAGACACTTGGGATTTGGGTATTTGTGCTGATCCTGGAGCCAGTCTCCTGTGGGTACAGAGTGTTGTGTGCCTTTTTATCAGAACACAAAGGACCTGATTCCAGAACCAGTGTCACCTTCCTGGTTTCACCTTCAGTAAAGCCTGCATTTCTAACCAAAGTTGGAAAGATAGCCATGAGCCCTTAGAGACCATACCAGCTGTGGGCTCACCCTGAGCTGACTGTGTGAGTTGATTCCCTGCATGGCTCGCTGCTTTGTTGTTATGTTACAGAGGAGGAAACCAAGGCACAGAGAGGCAGCTCATTTGCACCAGGCTGGAACATGGGTAGCTGTGGCTCCCAGGTTCACTGTTGGCATCTCATGTCCTCTCTAGCACCATGGCTGAGGCTCTGCTGGGTGGCTCACAAGTGTGCATCTGTCTGTGTTTTGTCTTTTCTGTCTGTTAAAGTTGTGACATGGCCTCAATCAACAGTGTGTATGTGACAGGGTGGGAGCTGGGGTCTCTGCACCCCTCTCTAGGGTTTAGTGAGTTTAGCTGGGCTGAGAAGGGGCAAGCGGAGGATGAACCACCACCATTCATTCTGGAGGCTTTGGATGTGTCCCCCAAGGCTTGCATGCTGGAGGTTGGTACCCAGTATGGTAGGGAGACCTGAGAGGTGGGGCCTGGTGGGAGGTCAGTAGGCACACTTGCTACCATGGCCTAGCTCCTATGGGACCTGTTTAGTTCTCCATAGAAGGTTGTTATGGAAGAGTGCCAGCCCCTTCCAGCTCTCAGGCTTCCTGTTTTGCTGTGTGAACTCTGAGGTGCCATCACCAGGAGGTGATGCTCCAGAACTGGTGGCATGCTGTTGGGACTTTCAGTTTTTAGACCTGTGAACTAAATAAGCATCTTTTCCTTATCAACTCCCTGGCCTTGGATATTTTGTTACAACAACGGAAAATGGCACAGACCATTCCAGGGCCTGGTTTCTCCCTCAGTATAACCTCTGTGCCCTCTTTCTTGGCTCATGGGGATTCTCTAGCCTCAGGTGAGGTCGAGGTGGGGAGCACCGGAAGACAGAGCTCCTCAAATTCCTTCAGCATCACTTTAGCACCACCCCTCCCCCATGCTTAATTTCAGATACTTACAGTCTATGTGAATGTTGTTCATAAGATAAAAATTAAATGGATAAATACAAGGATCTGACCATTTGTGGAGTGAATTTCAGGAGAGCAGCAAGAAACAGCACCCATAGGGAATCAGTTTCTGTTTAATTCTCATAGCATATGAGAGAGTCTGACAGGGGTCACTGGGGCTCACATGGCTAGGAGACACAGGGCTGTACTGTTGAACACTAGTGAAGTGCTGCATCGGGGTGTGCCAGCCAGTCTCCACAGCTCTGCCTACAGAGCCACTCTAGGAGCATCGTGACTGTGCACAGCACCTCCCAGGACTTCCATGTAGGCTGTATTACTGACAGGATCTGTGTAGTGACCTGAGAGTCACATCTGGTCAATTCTACCATGTAAAGAGGTAATTAAAATCACAGCACTGG